ATTAATAAAATATAATTATAGAAAAAAAAATGTAAGTAATGAATCTTTTTGTTTTGTCTACTGTAGACAGGACAGCAGGGAGATCACAGCAAGAACTTGTACCCCTTCACCATTGCCCTCTTGCTGTCTGTAACAAGAATACAGAGATTTCAGGAACAGGTATTTATTAAGGACTTTATAATTCTTTCTAGAGTTGGTGAAGAGCAGTACAGGAGTATTTTTATTGTTACTCTTTTCTAAACTATCCTTCCCCATCCTGCCAGCAGCAAGTTCTGTAAACTGTGTGACGTCTCTTCCTGAAGGCTGCTGAAAGACACTTTCTGGTGATTGGTTTACACCTCCAGTTCTTACGCTGTGATGGAGTAAGAGTGGAAACACATCCACAACCCAAGTTACCAGAGTATGAAGCTTAGACAGATAGTCCCTGACAAATGACAAAGTGTAGCTGCATAAAACTTTATGATTTTATTATGATGTCACTGTTTTAAAAATTGTCTTGGGTCAAGTTGAAATTTAATTAATGAGCATAGGTTAGCTGCACTGATGAAAATATAAAAACTTATGCCCTTTTTGCATCCTTGCTTCTAAGGAGCTCTCTGGTGGCACTTCCTCCAAGACAAATTGGCAGTCCATGTTGTTGTTGTTATGTGCCATCAAGTCGCTTGCGCGTCATAGCGACCCTGTGTACAACAGCCCTGAACCCTCCTCTATCCTGTGCCAATCGCATTGCCTCTGACACACCCATCCCGATTACCCCAGTCACTGAATCAATCCACCTCAAAGAGGGTCTTCTCCTCCTGCGCTGTCCCTCCACCCTCCCAAGCATGCTGTCCCTCTCCAAGGACCTGTCCCTCCTTGCAACATGCCCAAAGTATGTCAGACGAAGCCGCAGAATCCTTGCCTCCCAGGAGTTGCTTGGTTTAACCCTCTCCTGGATGAATCTGTTTGTTTTCTTGACAGTCCATGGTGCATTCAATACTCTTCTCCAGCACCACAGCTCAAAGGTGTCAATTCTCCTTCTATCCTCCCTAGTCCTTGTCCAACTCTCTGATGCATAACAAGTGATTGCAAAGACCATGGCCTGTATTAGATGCAGCTTTGTCCCAGAGACACCATTGCTCTTCAGTACTTTGGAGAGGTCCCTAATAGCAGACTTTCCCATCGCAATACGTTTTTTTTTAATTTCCTGGCTACTGGTGCCAAGAGTGTTGACTGTGGAGCCGAGCAGACTAAAGCTGTGAACAATCTCAATCTCTTCGCCATCCATTCTGATGCTGCCAATTGGTCCAGTGGTGAGAATCTTTGTCTTCTTAACATTGAGCCTCAGTCCATACTGAAGGCTGCAGTTGTTGACCCATAGTATATTTAATACTCTTCACCACCATGATAATCCTAAAGCATCTATTCTTCAGTCTTCCTTTTTCATTGTCTAACTTTCAGACACATACAGATAATTGAAAATAGCATGGCTTGGATAAGGTGCACCTTAAGACAAATCTGTCTTGGAGGAAGTGGGACCAGGCTGCTCCTTAGAGGCAAGGATGGTAAAATTTCATCTCACGTGTTTTGAACATGTTATTAGAAGGAGTCTTTGGGAAAAGACATCATTCTGGGAGGGGTAGAGAGCGAAAGAGCAGATTAGCCTCAGTGAGGTGAATTGAGCATAGCAGAGACAGTGAGCATGGCTCTGGGTAGGGACAAGGTGCCAAACTGTTTTGTTCGTAAAGTTTCTGATTCATAGACATAGTCTAACAACAGCAACAGTATGCCCTTTTTTCTCATACATATTTTTTCAGGTTGTTGTTGCCCCTTTCTCTCTTAAGGAAGACCTGTCTTCAACACAGATTTTAAATTCTTATTGAGAATCATAATTTTAATAACATACTCCTCTGATAAAAGGAATTCCATAGGAATGTGAGGAGCAGAAAGTGGGAACAGTTTGAGGGCTAACCTACAGCAGAATGAGCTTTCATTTTTGCTTTTATTTTCCCATTTATTTCATTTTCTTAGGTGTTTGACCTTATAAAGACTTCAGTTGTGAAGAGCTTTAAGGATCTTCAGCTTCTCCAAGGCTCAAAATTTCTTCAGAATCTAGTCTCTGGTGATTCTTGTGTTTCAGCTATGATCTTGGAAGTGGTAAAAAATAGGTGAGTTGGTAAACCGTATATCTATAGATTTGTAGGATATTTATGGTTAAAAAAAGTACAATGCAATATCAAACTCATAGCCTGTTATGAATCATACATGTCCTCTAACAATGAATGGCATAAATCCTAATTTCTGTGCCTGTATGTCTGATTATAATCCCATTTGGGAATGGATTGTTTTTGTTAGTCAGGCAGGTTTAAAGTGTGGAGTGTATCTTGAGTCTCTATTTTGAGATAAAAAAGTTTAGTACAGGCAAGCAAGACGAGGGAAGAGAAATAATCAAGCCACATGAGGACTGCCCAGGAATAGAGATTTGGAAGAGATAAGGATTTTTCTTTATAGCTAATACTCTCATTTTGACTTCTACTCTCCTAAACCACAAATATAAAAAGCAGTGCTATCATTATGTAGGTGGTAATGTCTGAGTCGAGCTCCACTGATTGAACAACTTCTACAGCACAAAACCAATTCCTGTGAGAACCAATTTGAAGACTGTGAGTAAGCCCCCAGGTCATCTGTGCCCCCATGCTCCCACACCTCCTGTCAGTTCTAGCACCAGCATTTCTCCCTCCCATGGTTGACAGTGTTAGGTTGGCAGATTCATTTCAGTGGCCACAGAGAGATCACAGATAGTAGTTTTGATTATAGCATGTTTAAGGAAGTAATAGGGAGCAGTTTCATTTGGAAATACTCAAGATAGGAGAGTCTCAGCCCTGCCTCTCAGCACTGGGCCAGTGTTACAGAGCTTGGTTTTTTTGTGTGTGTGTGTTTTGTTTTTACATTAAGTCAATTTTTATTCATTGGTTTCTGTAGTGATCAATATTTACATAGGGAAAGTCTCCACCTTTTTTTTTTCTCAAGAAGTGGCTGATTGGTTTGAACTACTGACCTTTTGAGTGGCACTCTATTAAAGTAATATACTTAACATAGCTCTTTTTTTCATTTAAAGTGCTTTTTATTGGTTTTTATACATTAATGCACAATATATATTGTGTATCATTCCTGTGGACTGTGTTTTATACAATCATTCCTATAAATAGTTTTATATCATTAACTTTTTTTTTTACTTTTTTCAATTTTATATTGGTTTACTCACAAAGTTTGTGTACATTGTTAAAGAGCTTGTTTAGTTCTGCAGATTCTCTGAGACCTCTCCCTACTCCATCAGTAAGATGGGGAAAGCCTAGGGAAAGGCCCTGACGCCTGTGTAGGTGGCAGTTCTCGTTACTCTCTGTCTTGTCTCTGTCTCAAGCTCATCTGGTTCTCTGCCACTTTTGCACCAAGTGCTGGAGCTACTGCTGATCTGCTCTGAGTCTCTGTCTAGTACAGGAACCTCTGGCTCAAAAGGACATAGTGCACACCCAGCTTCTTCATTTTTGATGGTAGCAAGATCTCTGCCTCTGCTTCTGAACATACTCGATTTAAGCCTGACATGATGGCAAAATTGACCTGGCCCCTTCTTAGCCTGTACATGTTTTTTGCATGTTCCCACTTAAAGGGTGATATTTACATTATTAACAACTTATCCAAGTTCTTGAAGATGCTATAGACCATCCACATTTGTATGGTTCTGTGGTTCTACCCAGCCATGATGCAAACCAAAACCAATGGCTAAAAAAGTCACATTGAATAACTTGTAGCATAGTGAGAACAAAAAGTTCTTGTTTGTTAAAGCCATCTATTTCTGGTAATTCTGTGTAGAGGCACTGTTGTTGTTGTTGTTATGTGCCGTCGAGTCGCCTGTGACTCATAGCGACCCTATGCACAACAGCCCTAAACCCTGTTCTATCCTGCGCCAACCACACTGTCTCTGACACACCCATCCCGA